AAATCTAGTCCATACCTTGTTTTTGTACAGCTTGCAAGGTAGGAATGGTATTCACATTTTTTAAGGGTTAAAGAAAAAAAATAAAAAAAGAATATGCATGCAGACTGTACATGGCCCCCAAAACCTACAATATATTGCCTGCTCCTTCACAGAAAAAGTTTGCCAACCTCTGTTCTATTGTGCTGTTTCTGTTTTCTACAAGTTCTTCCACCCTGGTTTTCTTTTGTTGGTATGGTTCTGCTGCTGTTTTGGTCTGTATTTTTCAAGTTACAGACTTTCTTTGAATATCAAATGTTGACTGGTAGTGCTGCCTACATGGGTGTGGCTTATAAACTGGGAAGCTTTGCCAGAGTAAGGTACTCTGGTAGGAACAGGACCACTTTAATACTATCTGTTTTACTCACAAGGTAGTTAGTATCCCTAGAATTGTACTTTCCTGCCTTGGAGATGTAAGATTGATTATAAGCCTATTCAGAGCTGAAAAGAAAAGGGGGATGGAGTTCTCACGTTCAATAAACAGACTTTTCTTAAACCCTATCTTTTATACATCCTTAGCTACATATGGAGTTAAAGAATATACAAACTCTCTAGTATAATCTCTCCGGAGAGTAAATCTCAGTGGGGGAGGGAGCTGTCTACTTATAGTAACTTGCAACCAATTCTTCTGTGATTAACTCTATTTTAAACGCTATTTTAGAGTGCCCCCACATCTTGAGCTTTTCCATGTCTGAGTCTGAGGATCTTGTTAGCTTTCTCAACAGCTTTCTTTTGCCTGCTAAGTCACTCAATCATTCATCTGTTCTCCAGTGTTCAAAATCTGTTGACATCTCATCTGTTATTGTCCCCTCTCCTACTCTTTTTTAACTCTGTAGGTTTGACATTTTTATTCCTTTACTATCATGGAATTTTGAGAGGGGTGAATATTAATATAAATATTTGATTTTTCCAGAGATTTTTAAAAAATCTAAGTTTTATGTAACATTGTTTTTTGATATTAAGTAATCCATAGGTTCTGAGGCATCAGACCACAAAACTAGGCAGGAGAAGAAGATGGATACTGCCAATATTATAGAACAGTGCTGAAAATCAATGAAAAGTCAGGGTGCCATACTGTTTTTGATTCCACTTTGGTTTATTTTAAAGTGTCCTATGGTAGGAAGGTATTTAAGTTAACAAAGCAGTTCAGAGAAAAAGAATTTCACCTTTTCTTTTTTCCATTGTTTTCATACTGCCTTGTTCAAATGAATTATGCCCACTTGAGACAAAGATTATACTTTCAGTAAAGCAGACCTGTTAGGAAACTCATACTGCAGTTGTAACCTGGTCACAAAACCATCTGGTACATTCCTGAAGGCTGTTATTACATTTCATGGACTTATATTACTTCAAATACTCTAACAGTCCCATGTGGGCTTAAAAAAGGGATTTCTAAAAAAACTACTTTGTTCCTGCTTACTTTAGACCTTCTAGATTTATCCCTTATAAGAGGAGTCCTGATTATAAGTACCTTTTATGTCAATCAATACACATTATGAGTTTTATCAAGTGATACAAAACCCTCACTTGACTTTTAAATGGATAGATTTCTTTGTAGTAAGGTGCTACTTGTTGATACTGTTTCTCTGAAAATCATTACAGTGACAATTGGGTTATCAATTTCTTAATTAATAAAATGCTAAAATTACAGTATTACATATAAATATTATAAATACATTTTTAATGAAATTCTAGGAAAAGTAGGTTCTGAAGCTCCAGAAACTCTCTGGACAACATGGTATAGTGGGGAGAGTACCAAATCCACTATTTTTCGCTAGTTCAACAAGTATTAATTGAGCATCCATGCCCCAAGCTGAGACACAGTTGGCTGCCAATAATGTACAAATGTATAATATGTGTTTATGGAAGTAGGCAGATATATAAACAGGCCATCACAACACAATAAGATATAAGCTATAACAGTAATAATGTATAAACTACTATGGGTTTCCTAAGGAGTAACTCACCAGTTAGAAAAGTAAAAAGAAATTTTCATAAAGAAAAATTTCAACTGGTTTTGATTGGCAAACCTGCTAAATGAATTGGATGATAACTTGTATGCTAGGGCTGAGAGTAATGAAGGGATGTGTATGTTTAATCGTAAAATGTTTTATGTTTGACAGTGAGAACTTCAGTGCATCAAGGTAAGGTCTAAGGATGAAAAAGCAGGTCTTGAGGTTTTAAAAGTACATGAGGGCCAAGATGTGAAGGCTTTTTTTAGTAGTATGTGATGTTAGACAAGTAATTTCATCTCTTACAACCTGTATAATATATGTAGAAAAGGTTTATAAATGATAAGGTAGATATATTTTTACTTATGACTTTTTAAAATTCAATGCATTGCCTATATTAAGAGGAAAAAATAATCAACTGAGGTAAGAATATTTATTTTCCTAAAATTAAGTATAGTGACTAAAATTCAGGAATATTAAAAAATATTCAAGCTTCTGTGGAAACTATTTGCAGAATATTAAAATACAAATAAAAGAAGACAGAACAGGTTGATCACCAGGAGAGACCAAGTAAGCACATGAAATGCTTCAAGAATAATTTATAATGCAACCTGATGCCAAGTACCACTGGGATTTTTAGGCAGAGAAGGGCAGTAGCTTAACCATATCAGTAGATTAATTACAGAACTGAATCATTCAGTTTGAAGGGAAACACTTGAGTATATCATTCTTAAATAATGGGGAAGAGAGATGCCTGGGTGGCTCAGTCAGTTAAGTGTCTGACTTTGGCTCAGGCCCTAATCTCACGGTTTGTGAATTCAAGCGCTGTGTTGGGCTCTGTGCTGACAGCTTGGAGCCTGGAGACTGCTTTGGATTCTGTGTCTCCCTCTCTCTCTGCCCCTCCTCCACTCACTCTCTGTCTCTCAAAAATGAATGTTAAAAAAAAAATTAGGGGCACCTAGGTGGCTCAGTCAGTTAAGCATCTGACTTCGGCTCCGGTCATGATCTTGCAGTTTGTGAGTTCAAGCCACATGTCAGGCTCTGAGCTGTCAGCACAGAGCTTGCTTCAAATTCTGTGTCTCCATCTCTCTCGGTCCCTCCCCCACTTACTCCTGTCAAAAGATAAGTAAACATTAAAATAAATTTTTTTAAGTAAAAACATTAATGGGGAAGACTGGTTGATGTGTTCTTGGGATTTAAATCCAGCTATTTTAGCCCTATGTTATTAGCTATCTATAAATTTGAACTGAAATGCAATCTAATTTGCTTATGTGTAAATGGACTAACGTGAGTGAACGAGGTACTTGAGAGAAATTTAAGTTCTGGATTTGGCGAGGTCAGATAATGGTTAGCAGTGAGTCTTCTGGCTGAACTGAAAAGATGTCAAATGTTCATGTTTTCATGATTTTATTCTTTTTTAAAAATTTATTTTTATTTTTATTTATTTTTTTGGGAGAGACAAGCTGGGGAGGGGCAGAGAGAAAGAGCAAGAGAGAGAATCCCAAGCAGGCTCCTCATTGTCAGCGTAGAGCCTGACTTGAGGCTCAAACTCCTGAACCACCAGATTATGACCTGAGCCAAAACCAAGTTGGACACTTAACCAACTAAGCCACCCTGGTGCCCCTCATGATTTTATTCTTAACCTGTGTTCTTTTAATTATCTGAGCGCCTTACAGGAAAAAATTTATTACATGGCTTTAACTAATTATAATTTCATAAATAGAGAATATGAAATACGTTATAAAACGATGATAATAACTAGTTCTACAAACACAAATCTTAAAGGACCAGAATCCTTATATATTATATATATATTATAAATATATAAATATATATTATGTATATATAATAAATTAATATTTAATTTATTATAATTAAATATTATTAGTGGTGTTAATTCTTTAGTACCACAAGTATGGTTTATCTCTTCTTAAATAGTTTGCTTTATGCCCATAAAATCATCAATTGGGTTCTGACGTTCACCAGAAAAAACTTTCACTGTTTAAGATGGTGAACTTCTTTTTTTTTTTTTTTAATACTATTCTTTTCTTTTTTTTTTTTTTTTAGGTTTTATTTATTTCTAGGAAAGAGAGAGAGAGAGACAGCATGAGCAGGGGAGGGTCAGAGAGAGAGGGAGTCACAGACTGAAACAGGCTCCAGGCTCTGAGCCGGCAGTCAGCACAGAGCCCGACGCGGGGCTCGAACCCACGAACCGCGAGATCGTGACCTAAGCGAAAGTCGGACGCTTAACAGACTAAGCCACCCAGGCGCCCCTAAGATGGTGAACTTCTATAAACATTTATGGAGTACCTCTTATGTGTGACATTCATTGTTTGATCAATTATAAATCTTTACATATTTTTTAAACCCTTTAATTTATTTTTTAAGTTTATTTACTTTTGAAAGAGACAGAGAGCGGAGGTGGGAAAAGGGCAGAGAGGGGTCAAAGGATCAGAAGCACGTTCTGTGCTGACACAGAGAGCCTGAAACGGGGCTCAAACTCACCAACTGTGAGATCAGGACTTGAGCCAGAGTTGAATGCTCAACCGACTAAGCCACCCAAGTGTCCCAATCATAAATCTTTAAGCTTTAGAAAATTTGAGTTTTTAGGGTTTCATTTATTCCACTGATTCTTTTTATCTTTCATTTGTGACATATATCATTAAATATATACCAGTTCCTGGGGTACCTGGGTGGCTCAGTCAGTTAAGCATTGGACTCTTGATTTCAGCTCAGGTGATGATCTCATGGTTCGTGAGTTTAAGTCACACATCAGGCTCCATGCTGATGGCACAGAGCCTGCTTAGGATTCTCTCTCCCCCTGTGACCTTCCCTGACTCACATGCATTCTTTCTCATAAACAAACAAACAAACAAACAAAGCAGTTCCTAAGGTTCTAGTGAAATACAATTCTATCAAATTTATTATAAGGAGTAAAGTAGCAAGACTAACTCTTCTATAGCCCTGGCCATAGGTTATTATTACAGTTACATTACGTTAAATTTCACTTACCTACCTAGGGCCTGGTTTAAGGCCCTAAATGCTTGAATTTCATACCACTGACGACCAGGTAAAAGACCTCTCAGTTTGGAGTGCTGATCATTGTACTGTCGCTTTAGTACAACCTAATAATTTAAAAAATATTAAAAATATAGTAGATAATTCAGGCTCATTTTAAAAATCATATTAACTTCCAATATTCTGAATCATTTTTGTTGAGAGATTTTGATTTTCAGTATTTCAGTACTACATTTTTTCAGTTCATTTAAAATATGTTTATTCATCCTTACATTCCCTGAATTCCTACATGCAGCTGTGTGATGAAATCAGTTTTAGTGAAAAATAATTTATTTACAGAGAATAAAATTCACAAACTTTCAATGTCATGTAAATAAGCTTTGACAAATGCATAGTCATGTAACCACCATTACAATCATAATTTAGAATATTTTCAGCACCCTTCTAAATGTCCTTTCTATTCCTTTTGTCTCCCTTCTTCACTGCTGACTCTGTCAAGCAATGATCTACTTCTTGTTTTGCCTTTTCTAAATTCCATGTAAATGGTACTAAACAGTATGCAATCACTTGTTTTCATTTAGCAAAATAATTTTGGAATTCATTCATGTGGAAACATACATCAGTAGTTCATTCTTTTATGTTTATCCAGCCTGTTTTTTGATTGGGGTATTTAGATCCTTCACATTTAATATAAATATTGTTATGATTTGGTTTAAATCTACAGTAGCAGAACACACATTCTTCTCAAGTGCACAAGGAATATTCTCTAGGATACATTATATCATATAAGTCATATATCCTTTACAATAATAATGGTATGAAATTATAAATCAATAACACTTGGAAAACTGGAATGTTCACAAATATGTGGAAATTAAATAACATACAACTGAACAATCAATGGGTCAAAGAAGAAATCAAAAGAGAGCTTAAAAAAGATCTTGATACAAATAAAATGGCAACACAATAAACCAAAACTATCAGATGCAGCAAAAGCAGTTCTAACAGAAAAGTTTATAGCAATAGTTATCTATAGTAAGAAAAAAAGATCTCAGATAAACAACCTAACTTTCCACCTTAGGAAATTAGAAAAGGAAGAACAAACTAATATTAAAGTTAGCTTAAGGAAGGAAATGAAGATGAGAGCAGAAATAAAAATTGCAGCTAGAAAATCAGGATAAAATGAGGATAAAAGTCATTGAAATGAAGAATTGGTTTTTTAAAAAGATAAAACTGATAAACTTTTTGCTATCTAATCAAAAGGGTCAAATAAAATTATAAATGAAAAGAGTACATTACAAGTGATACTACAGAAATACAAAGGATTATAAGAGAGCACTGTGAACAATTATATGCCAAAAATGGCATAGTTTAGAAGGAATGGATAATTTCCTACAAATATACAACCTACCAAGACTAAATAATGAAGAGATAAAAAAATATGAACAGATCTATGGAAGAAAACTGAAGAAGTAATAAAAAAAAAATCTCTGAACAAAAAAAATCCCAGGACTAGATGGCTTCACTGGTAAATTCTATCTAGCATTTAAGAAAGAATTATCACTGTTCCTTCTCAAATGGTTCCAAAATACTGAAGAGAAGGAAAAACTTCCAAACTCATTTTAAAAGGCCAGCACTACTCACATACCAAAGCCAGATCAGGACACTACATGACGAGAAAATTACAGGACTATATCCCTATAGGATAAACACTGTTGCAAAAATCTTTATCAAAACACCAGCAAACTGAATTCAACATCACATTAAAAGGATTAGATACATGATCAAGAGGGATTTATCTCTGGAATGAAATATTAGTTTAACTATACATAAATCAATAACTGTAATACACCACATTAACAGATATAATTATCTCGAGAGGCAAAAAAGCATTTGCAAAAATTCAACATCCTTTCATGATTAAAACTCTCAATAAATCAGATATAAAAGGATAAACCTCAACATAATGAAGGCTATATAAAACAAGCCTAGAGCTAATATCATACTCTGTGGTGAAAAGTTGAAAACTTTTCTTCTAGCATCAGGAACAAGACAAATGTGCTCACTCTCACCACTTCTACTCAACAAAATACTAAAAGTCCTTGCCAGAACAATTAGGCAAGAAATAAAAGGAATCCAAACCAGAAAGGATGAAATAAAACCACCTTTGTTTGCATATGGCATGATCTTATATGTAGAAAGCCTTAAAGACTCTACCAAAAAACTGTTAGCACTAATAAATGAATTTAGTAAAGTTGGAGGATACAAAAACATCATATAAAAATCAGTTGTATTTCCATACCCTAACAACAAACTACCCTCCCCAAAATTAGGAAAACAGTCCCATATATAATAGCATCAAAAAGAATAAAATACTTTGGGATAAATTGAACCAAGGAGGTGAGGGGCACCTGGGTGGCTCAGTTGGTTAAGTGTCCAACTCTTGATTTCAGCTCAGGTCATGATTCTGGGGTCATTAGATTGAGCCCTGTGTTGGGTTCCACACTAAGTGTGGAGTCTGCTTAAGATTATCTCTCTCTTGCTCACTCTCTCTCTAAAATAAAAAATAATTTTTTAAAAAAATATATAAATCGGGTGCCTGGGTGGCTCAGTTGGTTAAGCGACTGACTTCGCCTCAGGTCATGATCTCACAGTTCGTGGGTTCCAGCCCCATGTCAGGCTCTGTGCTGACAGCTAGCTCAGAGCCTGGAGCCTGCTTCAGATTCTGTATCTCCCTGTCTCTCTGACCCTCCCCTACTCACGCTGTGTCTCTCTCTCTCTCTCAGAAATAAGTAAAACATTAAAAATATATATACATATGTAAATCAAGGAGGTAAAAGATCTTTACACTAAAAACTATAAGACACTGATAAAAGGAATTGAAGAAACACAAAGAAATTTAAAGATACTGCATTTATGCACTGGAGTATTGTTAAGCTGTCCTTATTACACAAAGTGATCTACAGACTCAATGCAATCCCCATCAAAATTCAAATAGCATCTTTTACAGAACTAGATGAATGATAACTGGCTGGTAACCTACATGAAAAGATGCTTAACTTTATTAGTAAACCAAGAAATGCAAATGTAACAATCTCACTGTTTTTATCTGCAATATACTGACAAATATTTGCCAGAAGTGTTTATATTTTCCTATAAATACAGATAGATAATATGTGCAAGTATATTCACAGCATCTTTGTATTAAAGACAAATAAGAAACAACCTAAATGTCTAATTACCAGGTAGATAATTAAATATGTTATATTACATTTATTCTGAGATAAATATTGATTAAAAGAAATAGATTTATATATTTTGACATAGAAATTTAGCGAAAACCTACTTTGTAAATAAAAAATCAAGTGAAACACACACACACACACACACACACACACACACAGCCAGGTATCATGTTTTTAAAAAGGCCCATAATTTAGAAAGATGCCAATTCTAAACCAATCCCCAAAAAGGCAGGGGAGATAGAGCTTAAAGATTATGTACTTTGAGGGGCGCCTGGGTGGCTCAGTTGGCTAAGTATCTGACTTCGGCTCAGGTCATGATTTCATGGTTTGAGAGTTCGAGCCCCGCATAGGGCTCCTGTGCCTCCAGCTTGGAGCCAAGGAGCCTGCTTCAGATTCTGTGTCTCGCCGTCTCTCTGCCCCTCCCCCGCGCGCGCGCGCTCTCTCTCAAAAATAAACATTAAAACAATTTTTTTTAAAGATTATGTACCTTGAGCTTTTCCCAGAGCTCCCCTAAAAAATTGTCAAATCATGCCCATACAAGTTCAAGATTATCAGCTACTAACTGAACTACCTACAAAAAACAAAATTCAATATTCTTCAGAGAATAATAGAAAACAGAATCTCTATAATGTACCATCTACAATGTCCAGTGTCAATAAAAATTACTAAAAAAAAATGTGAGCCATAATCAAAGAAGAAAAAAAAAGATGGGTCACAAAAAAAACAATCTAGCAAGGATCCCGCTACTGGAATTAGCAAATACTTTGTTGTAGCTGTTATAAATATATTCAAACAAGTTAAAAACATACAGCTTAATGAATGGACTTTAGAGAAATGGAAACTATAAAAAAAGACCCAAATGGAAATTCTACACCTGAAAAATATAGTAACTAAAATAAAAATCCATTGGATGGATTTAACAGAAGATCGAAGAAGATAGAAGAACTGGTAAATCTTAAGACAGATCCACAGAAGCAGTGAAAAGTATCAGCTAGAACCCTACATACCAGAGAGACAGGTGTGAAAGAATCAAAGCATATGAAAGCAGTCAGTGATGATCTGAACAAATTTAAAATTCAGAATTGAAACAGTACTAATATATTTGAGACAATACTTAGTACCTCAAAGGCTCCACTATTAAAGGATATCAAGAATCTCTTTTCCAAGTGACTGAATCTATACTCATTTTCTTTTTTAATAAAAAATTTTTGACATTTATTTTTGAGAGAGAGAGAGAGAGACAGTATGAGCAGGGGAGGGTCAGAGAGAGAGGGAGACACAGAATCCGAAGAGAGCCTCCAGGCTCTGAGCTAGCTGTCAGCACAGAGCCCGACATGGGGCTCGAACCCATGAACTGTGAGATCATGACCTGAGCCAAAGTCAGATGCTTTACTGACTGAGCCACCAGGTGCCCCTGTACATTCATTTTCTATTTAGGTACTAATACACAGTACTAACACACAGAGCCTGTGTTAAATTAACTTTCTTCTTTGCTGGAAAAGAAATCACAATAAATCCTGCCATCTAATAAATTGAGCTTGATATTATAATCATACTCCTTTTCAATGATGGACACAATTATAGCATATAAAGCTACATTCCTATTAAAAGCAGTGTCATCCAAAGAATACTATGTGCCCAGACTTCATATGGTCTTCATAAAAAATGTTAAAATTACATCATCCCAAGAATGAGCTACTTTTATACAAGGTCAGAGTGTGTGGTATATACAATTCAGACTGACCTATTTAATTGTATAAGTTAATGAGCTTTTTCCTATAATAGCTCTCCTCTAAAAAGATGCAACTTTGAGTAAAAGGAACATATGCATTATGATTTTTTATTTGTATACACTAATTGAA